ATTGCACATATTGTAATGCTAATACTGCGTTCAGTAATCATATCTACCGGTGCCAGTGATTCATGTATTTTAAGTAACACTCTTAAGATAGCCTTTCCCCTGATCAATAGGTAGGTGTAGTCTACTAGGGTCTGGCATACAAAGCATATGGATCCACAATTATAAATTAGAAATACTAGAATTTGTTTTGAGGATTTGAGGTCGGAGCTCCGGGAGGTGTGAATTACATACCAAACAGACATGTAATTATTCCACAATAGAAATAGGTAGTAGATAACACTCCAGACAATTTGCACAAATTGTCGAAGCTGGGTTTGTTTGCCAATAATGCGTGAGCCCCAATATGTAATTGCATGGAGTTTATGGTAAGTTATTAAAATGTTTAATCCAGTTATGGGTTTTATATTCATTATAATTGATATAAATTTACAAGTTAATATTAAAAATTTCTATTTAAATCAACTAGACAAGATTTGAATATTAAAATATTACATACAGTACTGCTGTTAAATTGTATAAAGATTGTTGATGATAACAATATTGATTTATAAACAAATACTTGTTACTATAAACATAAGATTTGAAACTTGTATTTGGGGAACAGTAGCCGCGCCCCACATATTGACCGGTAGGTCGTACTCCTCATGAAGAGGTCCTTTCGATACAATGAATCTGTGCTTAGATTTCGACAAAATAGTCACTAATCTCTTCATGAGATCCAAATCCACTCCACCCATCGATCCCATGGAAAAATATATCAACTTTCCCGGTCTATCTCTCAGCGGCACTGGTATCTCAAACGCCAGCAGTTTTTCATTTCTCTTTAAATTGTCAAAACGTATGAAATTCTTGGGCAGAGGTCTGTCGTCCGTGTAATCCATTTCTTGAGGAAAGCCATAAATATTAAGACATTTTGTCTGATTCTTGAATAATAACTGTTTGAGTGGTTGACAGCCCCTGGAGATCACGTAATCATTGTATGTCTTCCAGATATCGTACACTCCTTTATCTCTGGTCTCCCGGAAGGCTTTCCACTCAGATTTGTCACCTTTTATAGACATTCCTGTTATAAAGATTTTTTTGAATAACCATTATTTTAAACTTTCTCAAACAAATAGTATGCTAAATATATTCAACGATAGCACGATAGCATTAAAATACCGTATAGTATTTTCTTATAAATTGTTAATTAAATTATTCATAACTGACAGGTAAAATAAAATATCAATTACAAAAGTTGGCACTAATCGAAGTCATCATTATTAATAATAATATTATTATTATTAAATTTTAAAAAAGTTTTACCAGCATTTGCACCAATTTACGGCAAACATTTCCCTTAAATATTATACTACATAACTACCTTAACTATTATAATTGCTAAATTATATTAACTTTTTTGTGATATAAAATTAGTTCACTTACCAGAATAATAAGGCGGTGCCCGGTCATCATCAAACATAAACAAAGGGTTGGCCGTCCAAACCCATACATAGGGAATGCCCGAGGTCTCAATCGAGGGCAATGATAGATACTGGTCCACAAATATAACATCCGGTTTGACACTGGGTATAACTGGCTCAATGGTCTTGTCCAATTTAATGTACATGTCAACGATGCGATTTTGAAACTGCATGCGCTTCTGTAGCTTTTCCAGGGGCTGTATGTCCGACAAGAATCCGGCTTCCCTGATACGTTCAGCCATGAATTTAACAGGGTCACCTACAGCGGGTTTGAGTTCATCGAGGTCCCCACCCATCTCGACCTCCTCGATGCCATAAGAGGCGAACTTTCCCTTCCAGTGCTCTTTGACGGCAAACACTACCCGATGCCCGGCCTCCTGGAGTACCTGTGCTATGCCTATGCAGGCGTTGATGTGACCCAAACCCTCCGGTGCTATGAATAATATTTTTAAAGATTTAGTCATTTTTATTAACAAACAATAACTTTAATATGAATTTAAAGAATTATTATTTTACTAATTATTAAAAGTATATTATTAATTTAACCTAATTATATAGCTTTAAAAGAAATTAATTCTGTACCGAATACACTTGCCAAGTACATTAAACATAATAATTAAATTGTTTATTTAAATTTCTTAAGTGCTTTGGTTCACAATAATAAATCATTAATAAATGTTATAGCCAAGGGTAAGTTCAAATTTAAAAATTATAATTTTTATTATATATTATTTTTATTATTGTTATTCCTTGTTGTAATTAATTTAGTATTTTGTAAATATTATCAGAGTAATTTTTAGTTATTAGATTTATGAAAAATTAATTATTGTAATTATTAACCATATCAATACGAATTTAATAAAATGTATTATTTATTATGATACCTTGGCTATTATTTATTATTCGCACACTCCTTTATCTAATTAAATCGTATGCCGGTGAGTACAATTTTATTATCAGTACATGGGTAATTTTTTAATCATGAAAGGAGTTTGTCATTACACAATTATTATGTTAAGATTAATAAACTTCCCGAACATTTTGGTCATAATATATAAGTCTACATTTACTATACAATATAATATATTATGCTTATTTATATGATTACAAACTGTATAGTTAAGTACTATTAGATAGTGGTTTGCGTTTATTATATGAAATAATTATTACTAAGAATTTTAATACATATAATATAATGCTTTAATTGTGTGCACAGTAATAGTTTTTGGAAAAATACTTTTATGTTGTTATAAATAATAGATAATGGTTTATGAATTAATGAATTTGTTTCTGTGAACATTAAGGACTTTATGGTTAACTATTTCATAATGAAAATAAACTAAAAATATACAAATCACCAAATATAAGCAAAACCCTTTGACATAATTTGACATTTTACATTAAAGTTTGCTGAAAATAACCATCACCTCATTTTGGCCATCACCATGTTTATTACGGGGTATTTTCAAAAAGATTAAACCTTTAGCACTTTGTATTTTGAACATAGTGAAATTAATAAAATACTTATAAATGACAAACATGCATAATTATAATTCACTTCTATCAAACTGTCTAAAATGACACACATTCTTATTTAATCCCAATTAGGGTCCAGGGGTACGATGCATAGGGGCGGGACAGATATCCTATGAAACTCCACTAATTTACTCCACAAAAAGTTCACAAACTCGGGCTCAGTCTCAGCCAATAGGCTGCGCCGTTGGCACGGGTTGTCACTTACGTTAAACAAATACAGACTCCTATCACATGTAGCGACCTAACCGGGTGGATGTGACCCCGGTTACTCAACTACTGACCCATGGAGGACGTCATAATCAGCTCGTTTACCAATTAGTAATAATACCCTGTTGGCTTTGACTTCTACGCCCCGCCCCACCTATGGTGAGAGAGCTAGTTTTATGAAAACTATTATTAAATATTAATTTTTTATAAATTTAATACAAACATAGTTAATTATATATTAAATTATTATTAAATATTAAATTATTATTAACTTTTTACAAAGTACTTAATGTAGTTTAAAGTAACATCAGTTAATAATTTACTAATTATAATTGTAATCACATTTTAATAGCTCTCTCTCCCATTCAGGACAATAAAATTGGGAGAGAGAGCTATTAAAATGTGATTACAATTATAATTAGTAAATTATTAACTGATTAAGTTATAGTACATTTAAATATGTTTGTATAAAATTAATAATAATTTAATATTTAATAATAATTTAATATATAACTAACTCTCTCTCTCTTTAGCGGGGCGGGGCGAAGAAGTCAAAGCCTACCTGTTTGACGCATATGGTTAGCATTCAAACATTAAATAGGAATAAATGGATACTAATATTTTCTTAATAGTTATATTTTAAATATTATTATTGTGCCAGTTATTAATATTGTGTCAGCATTTTTAGCAAATATTTAGTGTAATGCACAATTTAAATTTTAATATATAATTCTCATGTTTATTATAAGAATTACCAAATAATTTTATTTAATTATTTATTTAAAAATTGTTGATTTTATTTTTAAAAAATTCTAATCGATTTGAGTAATGTAAGTTACTTATCAGTTTTATTTTTGAGTAAATTTATCTTGATAATACTGTATTGCCTAGAAGATTGATTGTTTCATGTATTATATTAAAAAATATGAAATACAGCAATAAGCGTGATATCCAATATAAAATTCAAAAATATGTCTGATGAAATATTTTCTAAACTCCAATATTTATTACAGTTATAACTTATAAGTATATTTTTAAAAGTTACCTAATTAGACTGATAATACGTTGTGAGCTTATCATCAAATATAGAAAGCTATTTAAAAGTAATATAAAATATTCAAATAAAAAAATAATCTTATAAAATAAACCCTTATATTTAAGTTAACATAGCATAAATAATAATGGCAAAGTAACAAACATCTATGTGAAAATTATTATAAGGAAAACAACAATTTTATAATATACAAAATATTTGGTAAAATTAATTTAAATATTTCTCTTTGTGTTGAATGAAGTCTTCAATAATTTGCGGCAGTTTTGCGATACTATTATCCGATTGTATTCTCGACGATATTTTCCGTAGTTTTTCATTCAATGGCTTATCGTTTAACAGCTTTTCGATGGCATTCAACAGTTCTTCTTCAGTGCACCGGTAGGTATCCAGACGTATACCAAACCCCTTGTCCTCAACTCTCTGTGCGTTATCGTATTGATCGCCAAACAGTGGTAACACAACCATAGGTTTTCCGAAGTAAAACGTTTCGGTGATAGTGTTGTTCCCTCCATGGGTTACAACCAAATCAACTAACGGTAGGACTTGTATTTGGGGAACAGTAGCCGCGCCCCACATGTTGTCCGGTAGGTCGTACTCCTCATGAAGAGGTCCTTTCGATACAATGAATCTGTGCTTAGATTTCGACATAATATTCACTAATCTCTTCATATTCTTCACGTCCGCCGCACCCATCGATCCCAACGAGAAGTATATAAGTTTTCCCGGTCTGTCCCTCAACGGCACCGGTATCTCAAACGGCAGGTGCTTTTCAGTTCTCTTTAAATTATCAAATCTAATGAAATTTTTGGGCAGAGGTCTGATGTCCGTGTAGTCTAACTCTTGTGGAAATCCATATATATTGAGATAATTGTCTGCATTTCTCATACTATTGCCAACCAATGGCTGACAACCTCTGGACACGAGATAATCGCTATAATCAGTCAATTCTTTGCGAATCCCGTTATCCCTCACATCCCGGAAGTGTTTCCAATCGCTTTTGTCACCGAAAACTGAATAACCTATTCATACAGAAAATATTAGTTTTATTTATTTATTGATTAATTTATATTTTAAAAATATTTATATATTTTATTAAATTCCTTTATTTTAAAATAAATTTAATGGGCTGTATTTCGTAGGCCGCATAATAATCTACATAAGTTTTGAAATATTTTTAACTTAACTTATAATTTACAGTTATTACAAATAATTACTTATTTGTGTTTTAAAATTCTCTCTCTCTCTCTCTCTCTCTCTCTCACACACACACACACAAACACACACCATTCACCCACCTTCACACTCACTCATACTTTATTTCACGTATTCCAAGTGCTAAGATAAAGCCACTCGGCATAATAAAGTTTATTAAATAAACGATTAGAAAATTTAGATTTA